GGTGATAGACCACGCTGAGGGACCCCTTATTTAATCCCACTTAGTTTAGTTGTTTGATCTCGAAAAATACTGACGACAGCCGATTCGCTGACCTCCGTTTGAGTTGCTGTGGGAGAGAGGAATCCCCAATGTCTTCTAGCAGCGTGGAATGAAAGACATTGTCAAACGCCTTTCGCAAGTGCAACGCTGCTTGGGCGATTATCTCGTAGTGGCGGTTTCTATTAAGGCCACGAGGTATCTGGGTGTTTATGGCGTTGAGTGTTGTGGTACTTTGCACTTTAATGGCTTTGGAGGCTTTCGAGTTCCGGATGGCCACCTGGAATTCACCGAGTACGAGGCGACCTATTTTTTTTTTGTAGTTAGTGTAGGCTTCTGATCACTAGACGTTTGGTCTTATCTATCGAAATGCCGGCTAAATAACTCGCGCATCTTCATCGAATGAAATCTCCATTTCTATTGTGGAAGTGGCACCATTCAAGGCAGAAACAGACGACAACAGACAACAAGCTTCTCAGGCGTTTGGCGCTTTCCAGGCTTTGAGCTACACAATTTAGCTATTGCTGAAAGCCTGAAAAGCGCTCAACACCTTAAAAGCTTTATATGGAGTTGTACCTAATCTAAGAGTTACCGGTTAGGTTGGGATTTGCCGATCTAAACAAGGTTGGGAGAAACCAGTCATTATTGTGCGTAGAACCGGCTGACGTGGGAACGACATGTAGTTTTTATCTATTAATGAAATGTTGAAAGCAATTCTTCACCGTTAGCGAGCAATAAGTAATTAATTTCTTCATTTTTAGTTTTTACATTTTTTTATTAAGTGATGAAGCAAAAAATGCATAGTAAATTTACTCACCTTTTGTCCATTAAATTGCTTTGTTTTTAGTGTTTTTACTTCTTTATTGTTTCTACTGTTTTATTTATTCACGTTTGGCTGTAAATAAGTAAAAATATATTTTTTATATAAAAAAGGAAACACTGAAAATCTTTGACACGCCTGCAGCTTTGCTACGCCATTTAATTTAGTTACGTTCAAACAAATGTTAATAAAGCATTTTTTTTTTACTTTATGAAAATATTTAAACATTTTTCCTTTATAGTTTTCTTTGCATATTCAATGAATTTGTGGCGCAATAACTTTTTTGTTAGGATATTTTTTATATGCAATACTTGCTTACAAACCTATGTATATGTACATATGTACGTACTTTTATGCGGGAATGCATTTCTCAAGTGTGTACGTATGAGAGTGCCAATGCTGAGCTTGCAAAAAAAAATAGGTAATTGCAATTTGTTGTGCACTTCTATTGATTGCTTTTCTGCTCTAGTGCAATTTTTTGAACATTAAATACCTCTTCAGAATACCTACTTTTTCTATAAATTGTTTCGCTTCCACACACCAAAATTCTCTTTACTCGCAAATATTTTACTTAATACATATGTACATACATATTTTTTTCTTCCATTGCTCTTTTCAATAATTTGCGGAAAACATAATGAGCTATTAAAACTGTGATGAAAAATTTTACTGCCTCCTCGTAGGCTCAATTAATTAGAGCTAGTTATGTTTACGATTATTTCTGTATAATTTTTATTTTAGTATTTTGCTATATCATTTCAAAAAACAAAAAAAAAAACATGATGCATGCCTTTGACGAAAATTGTTAAGGACGATGAAAACTTGTGTGATTAGACTGGGTGTTAGCTTAAGGAAATAAATATGAAAAAAATAAGCGACTGACTTGCAAGTTCATAAATTTTAGTGAGTTCGGTAAATTCAATACAAATAAAGGGAAGAGTAGTAACAATAGAAATACACAATGTATTTTGTTTAGAAAATAACATATAATATTTAATACGCAGACATTTTGTGATTTTTGTAGTTACTGCTGATCTTCTGCATTGATTTTCTCTCTCACCCTCTCTCTATCTGCTTTTTTGATTTGTATGCATATTTTTCTGCATATGGTTTTCCACAACTGCTTCAAATCAAATATTCATGCATATATATAGTATTTAAGTTAAATCTGCTTTATATTATTGTATTTATTGTAATTGCTAATTTGCGCATGCTTTAAGCGCTGATATAATGGTTCCTCGAATGTTTTACTAGTTTCATTGTTCGAGCATTCATTTTTTTCCTCTTACGGTTATGTCGATTTTAGTCAACGCATTCAGCTTAAAATTTTAATTTTAGCGTTTATTGATGTGTATGTGTATGAATTTATAAATGTAGGTATCTACATAGATGTTATCTAGCGGTTAAATTGGTGTTACGGCTGCCACGTTCGTTTTGCTCTGGTTGTTGATGTTGTAAATATTGTTTAAACATGTGTTGTTGTGTTGCATATAATATGCATATTGCAGTTGTATTACAAATCCACAGTCTTCTCTTCAGCAGATACAGCATTCGGTATTAGTTTTTCATCTACATGATTTTCTTCATTGGCAGCTGAGGTCTGTGTTTCCACAATGTCCTTGAAGATGCGCGCATACTTAAATCTTTGCTGGCACGTTGCTCTATATTGCCTCAACTCCACATCGCAATCACCAAAATCGCCGTCACGCAGCGCTTCGTAGATTTTTGAGGCTTCCTTTAATAGCATAGCGAGGAAAAAGGAAATTAAATTGATATATATATGACAGTATTTACTACTAATGTACTTACTTCTAGCTTAACTTTGTTAATGTCAAATGAGGTAATCAACTTAATAGCGGTATCTTTTTTACTTGGCTCCAATTCATACATGACACGTGCACCCTCATACAGATGCATTATAGAAGCACCCTTTGCCGCCACGAACTCATCATTCAACTGTTGTACACTCTTTGTTCCTATCAGTTCTTTGGTGGCCTTGTCAACGACAGTTTTAATGCTCGCATTCAACTCTCCGTTTGCTGTCAGCTTAGGCAATGATTGTGCCAGCCTAACTATGCACGCATGCACGGATGAATGGGTGGCATCAATGGCGATCGCACGTCTTATGGATTGCAACATTAGTAAAATTTTGTTCTTGCGACTGTACAGTTCGAATGCCAGTAAATGCGTTTCAATACGATCTTTGGCCAGTTGTTGTAAGGGCTTAAGGAACTCAATGGCCTTATCGAGTGGATCGTCCGGTCGCTCCAACTTCTCTGGTATGAGCTCATCCAATTGCGGCGCTTCTGGATCAGCTTCCTGGTTTGCCTGCTGCTTGGATTTCTGATGCTGCTCGCGCTTCACTTGCGCTTGTGCTGCTTGTGCGCTTTCAATTTCGGCTTTCTTCTTGGCTTTGCGTTGTTTGCTGCGCAGTTTTTTAAGCTCAGATGGCGGGAGATTCTCTGTAAGTTTAATATATCAAATTAACTGTGCCGAATTAAGAGTCAAATTCATACCTGAGTCGATTTCTTCAATGGTTTCTTCCGATTTAAGTGGTTTGTCGTATAAGCGAATGTACACCTTTAAAATATTAAATGTATAATTAAGACTCATTAGTTGTTTTTTTACTTTACCTCTATGGCACATTTCGCCGCCTTATAGTAGAAAGGATGGCGACGTAGCACATCTTCCAGTCGCAATAGTCCGATATATGCGCGCAAAGTCATTTTGCGCATGCAGTACGTATGGAAGTCGAACTGATCTTCAATAATCTCGGAAAAGTGGCGATCTACTTCGTGACACTTTTTCAACGCTTCACCCCAGCGACCCATACGCTGATAAGCCAGTGCACATTCCGTTTGGAACCACATACATTGCATCTCATTTAGATTCTCCATGGCAGTTACACCCTCACGTGTGAATTTCGAACAAATTTCTTCAGCCTCCTTTACCAAATTGGCACGTAACATGTACTTTGCGCATTTTGAGTTAATGTAGCTGTAAAAAGTTAGTAAAAATAGATGTTAAAACGTACAAATTTTTAATTGATCCTTCACTTACCGATCCGCGGTATCCATACTTTGCGCTTCATCCATCCACATATAGGCTTCGATTGGGTCGCCAGCATGCTTGTATATTCGACCCTTGGTCATAAAGAGCTCAATAAGCGTAGGTGTATGATCGATGGCAGCGTTAACGTATTCCAGAGCATGATCCGTATCGCGTTTATAGTCATAGTGTTGCGCCAAAAATAATGCAGTCCAAACTAGAGCGGACGCTGGCTCTATTGGGAGGTTAGCATCGGCGTCTTCCCTTGAAAAATGTCCTGAACGAGACAAGTTTTCATAATATTGTAGCGCCAGCTCCTCAATAATTGCTGCCTTTTCAGGCACGCGGTGCAATACGCGCACATTTACAAATAATGGCGGTACCCCTTTACGCAATCCACGACGTAAATATGAATCCAGTGCAGAACGAAATGCATCGCCGCTTGCGACATCCAATGGCAAACGTTTTGGACACATAGCTCGCGGGTAAATTTCCTCAAATCGTTTGAAAGCAATGAGTTTATCTGTCGGGTCAGCAAATTCCCGAGCAGCAAAATATTGCGAGTAGTATAGTGTATTCTCCGGATTACGACGGATAAGCTCTTCAAAGATCGGCACAGCCAATTCAGGTTGGCCGAGTTTAATATGCAAGTCACCAATTGACTCTTGTACGGCCAGCTTATCAACAATTTGACTGTCGTACTGTCGCAGATGATCTAGTGCACGCTGAAGGTTGCCCGCTTCCACAAGAATTTGGTTTTGGTAGAGCAGTAGTTCTGAATGTCGATAATCGTGCGTTTCCTGTTGGTAAAATGAACGGCAAAGGAAATTAATATATGACATTTAAATACAACAGTTTGATGTACTCACTATAGATGCCTGCGATTGACTAAAGGTTTCCAAAATGCTATTGGCCATTTCAAGATCACCGATTAAATGATAACTCATAGCAAAACCAATCCAGCTGGCATGTTGCGAGGGTCTTAAAGTAAATAAATGGTGGCGAGTTTCCTTATAGCCTTCGAGATCGCGCATTTGTATCTGCAGCAACGACAAATCCTTGAGGATTTGAAGATTATCCTTTTCCCACTTCAATGCATTACGATAGCATTTAATCGCCTCATCGTACTTCTTATCACTGCGCTGCAATAAACCATAAACATGCCAGCAGACGTGAGAACGTAAATCCCTACGCAGTCCCAAACGCACATATTTGTACGCCTCTTCTCGGCGCCCGAGACCATTGAGTGTTAGGCCTTTCATCGCCAAAGTCTCTCCATGCTCTGCATACTTAGGGTTGGACAGAATCTGCTTAGCTAATTTCAGCCCATTTTTGTACTGCTTCATTTCGTAGCATTTCTATATTTGGTATATAAAATTTTAATATTAAAATTATGCAACCTTTTCTGCGTTTTTACTTAATATTAATATGAAAACAGATCTTATTTTTCAATGCTAAAAGAAAATTTCAGCCACAAATGTTTTGAGGTTATGTGCAATGGATATTTTACTTCGTAAAATTAAGAATTTAAATTATACATATGTACATATAACATTAATACTAATTTTCAAAATATTCCTAGTTAATACATTTTAATTTAGAACAGGCAGGTGTTACAAAAATTGCTAACTCCACATATCATGTAGGATGACTCGTATAATCAATCCGTGACATTGAACCCGGTGGATGTTCCGCAGTCGCCAGTTTTTATTTGCAAGATTATTATATTAAGATTATTAGACTGGGGGCGATGTGTAATGACTAAAACCAAATATTCCACATAGTAATATGCACCTACCAACAGCTTCCTGAAGAGCGCACTCTCCTTGGGCGGCAGTGGATCGCTGGATGGCATCTTGCACACGCGGCTCTACTACAAATGCAAAAGCTCTACAGTTTTTGCACTAACTACTTTAATGTAAATGGAATATACCAATCCTTGAATGCAAATTTTCGAAGCGAACGTTGAAAATTTTCACAAAAGTTCCGTGGAAGCTTGGCCACGAGCAAAATTGAGATGTCGATCCGTGCTCGACAGAGAAGAAGAAGAAGACAAACAGAGCAGCGACAAACACACGCAACCACACACAAACCACCAACTCGCAATGAAAATTTAAATGTCAATTCGTCCAAATGTCAAATAGAACTTTTGTTGCCAGACATTTTAAAAATATTATAAAGATTATAAACAGGATAATTTGGTATTGTTTGGTTACTTTGAACAGGAATATACCCTCATGATAATTGTCATAAAAATTATAGCTCAGTTATGCATACTTTGCACCGAACTCCATAGACTGTCATGTTTACGTCGAAATCAAACACTGACAGACTTCTACAATCGTCGTTTAAAGTACAAAACCGCTTGCGTTGTATGTGATAAAATGCCTCATTCGCAGCGAAATTTTCACCGAGTGAAAACGAAAGAGAGAAAAATCAAAAAACCAATTTTTTACATTATGAACCAGAAAAATACTGAAATCCTTTACTTGAACGAGTCATGTTTGCACGAATAGCAATCTGCAATTCGCCTTTCGGAAATAAAAAAAAAACCTCTTTCGAAAGACACTTTACATGCATGGTGCATGGTGCTCATGCAACTGCTTTCTGAAATTTCCCAGTTCGACAGCCTTTTCGAAATATTTTGCATATGAAATGCATTGCGACGTCTGACACGCTCTTAAGATGATGGTAAATAGCAACGCAGCGATTAACCGGCAGTCTTCACATGCTTAAAAACCTCGCTTGCGTTCGCAAGTGAGATAAAGTTATTTTGACTGAGCATTTGACAGCATACTTTTTTGTAAAATGTCCCCAAAAAATAAAGTGCGAGCCAAAGCGAATTTATACAAGGTGGTGTTGATGGCGAATTTAGATTTTCGTCGCGGTACTTCCTAATGTCAAAATAATGTGTTTTTTGTAAACAAGGCGAATTCCTATTACTACAAATACATCATTTTGACATTAAGAAGTACCGCGGCGAAAATCTAAATTCGCCATCAACACCAACTTGGTTCGAGCCTTACGGGCTAAATTTGTATTATCCATCGGAAGAATTCTGCGAAATGATAAATTACCTGTCAAGCAACAAAAATTAGTGTTGAAAGCTCGCAAACCACTCGGTAAGTGAGAAAAGTACGATTAGTACTTTTTGCGGTCTACACGTGCCGGATCTCGCATACGTCGTTATGTAAGCGAAACTTTCCAGCACGTGAAGACGGCCAGTAATCTTTTTTCCTATGAAGTGTAACATCAGCACAAATCCAACAGAACTAATTGAAGTTTCCAATCAGCTGTTGAGACTAGGGATGCCATCTTCCCTGCGCCTAATTCCCCTATTCTCGATAAAAATTCCCTATTATATGTATTGCTACCTATTTAAGGCACTTCATGCTCATTTATTAAAAAAAAAAACAATAAATATCATTAATTGTGATATAACGGTATGTTTCAAACCCGAGATACAAAATGAGGAGTTGTTATCACAATTTGTAATATGTAAATACAATTTTATCCTCAATAGGAATGTTCTAATCAATATTGAATACCCCATATTTGAAGTCATTTCCCCGATAGGCTGGCATCACTGGTTCAGACCCATCGCCAGCTCAGGACAAAATGAATCAATTAACTGGAAGGATTGGCAATTTTGTGTGCCAAAGTGTGCAATTTGCAGGGTGTAGGGTAAGTAAAATGAAAATTATATTATTCATACATTAACACATCCCAAAATAGCTGCAACAGGTGCGTACAAAATATGCCGATTGGCGAATGATTCGCGATGTCAAGCGACGTAAATGTGTTGCGGAACATGCAAAGGAGCGATTACGTGTAAATGCGTTACGAAAGAACGATATTTTACCAGCGGAGTTACGAGAGGTTGCTGATGCTGAAATAGCCGCTTTTCCGAGGGACTCGTGTTTGGTGAGGGTGCGCGAGCGTTGTGCGCTTACGTCACGCTCTCGAGGTATTGTACACCGGTACAGGCTAAGTCGTATTGTCTGGCGAAGTTTGGCTGATTATAATAAGTTATCGGGCGTTCAACGTGCAATGTGGTAAAACTCATGCATGGCTTGCGTATTAACTAGATTTAATAAATCTAAAATAAATTACATTAGTTACAATTAAATTAATCTAAAATCGGAAGTTCGGATTGCAATTCCAGCAAACTTATGCTGTTGTATGCCATGGCAGCAGTACGTTTATAGCTATCTTTGCATATTTCTGGGTACTTATCCGCCAGCTGAGCAATGGTTCCTAAGAAAATACGAAAACTGTAGCTTTAAATAACGTAATTTATAATCATGTTACCTTTAATGGCCTTTCGCAAACGGACTTCTGGACCCTCATAATGTAGAAACATCATGTCTAAAGCTTTTTTAATGAATGTTTCCCAAATTTCATGTTCATAATCACCTTCTTCACCTTTTGCTTTTTTGAATTTTGGGCTTAACTTGGGAATCACCATAGCAGCCAATTCACGTATGCCGGCCGATGGATCATCTAGGCGTTGTAAAGTAGCTAAAATTGAGTCACATTTGTGTTATTTTTAATTGCCATAACAACTATAAAAAGTTACCGTAGGCTATGGGTTTTAACTGATCTACGGCGACGTCTCCGAAATTGAATAGACACTTAACTGAATAATGACGTGTTGCGACTGCGCGATCTTCGAGTAAACTTGGCAGATACCTACCAACGATTTCTGGCAACACATAACGGGCTTCTTCGGCGGCACCTTGTGACATCGAACATAATGTAGCCATAGCCAGTGAACGCATGGACTCGGCATTTGCACCCGCACGCCATTCCAAATGTGGCTCAACCACTGACATTACAAAGGTGCGCAAAAGTTCTGTGCTTTCGTCCACAGGGCGATTGATAGTTTCTGACCATTGCAACATGGCAATAGATATGCCACTGAATATCTTGACTTTTGCGGAATCAGCACAGTTTTCCCAAACTAAATTTATTTTCTTCTGTAAGTCCTCCAAGTAGGTCGACCGTAGTTTAGCTACACTTAGCAAGCCGTGTAGGAGTAGAATTGGTTCGGTAAGTTCATCTAAAAATGCATCTAGATTTTGCACGTAGTTTAAGACTCTAGCAAAACACTCCTCGTGCAAAGAGGCAATGTTTATTTTCCTTCGATCAGCTATTACGCCAATAATGTGATGCCCCATTTCTTGCAATTCTCCCGCATTTGGTTGTTCAGAATCTAAGGATAACGCTAAAACCTTAATAGTTGTAACATAAATGTTTAAATTAAGCTTTTGGTTTGCTTCCTTCAACTGCTCTAGGCTCTCAGCAGTCGAATTTTTTTCAATTTCATCTGATTTGAAGATTAACGTTTCCACCATTTTCAGTACATATAACTGAAATTCCGGCTTAAGTGTTTGGGAAAAATCGCTTTCAACTAACATTTCGGAAACCCGAATAATATCATTAATTTTGGGGCCCAAACTAGCAGTAAACATGTAGTAAAAGCATTTTAAATAGCCCTCCTTAGCATTCTTTGCTAAACCATCGAAACCATGCTCTATCCAATCATCATAGGAGAGAAGACGACCCATCAAATCAGCTACTTTCAATGCCTCTCGTGCAACAATAACGTCTGGGTCCCGGCAGGCACGTGCTAGGTCTGGATAAATCTCGAAGAATTTTGCAGTCATCGCAGCTTCGGCATGGAGTACGAATTGATACAACAGCTTTAGGGAATGAAGCCGAACATTCACCTTCCAATCAGTTGACTCACGTGTGATGAGACCCAACAGACGTAATGAACGTTGTACTATACTACGACAACCAATTGTTGGGCGCTCAACGCCGGATGGGTAATTTTTAACAGGCAAGTCTGCTATTTCCTGTTTACTTAATTCCTCTTCGTTTTCTTCGTAGTATTGCTTACCGCATTGAATCCATCGTGGTCGGATTGAGTCTACTACTTCAGGAGAGTCATCTTTCAAGCTATATAAACAAGTTAAAATAGTTGGAGAGCTATAATTAAAAAAAAAAAAAAATGCGGTGCTTACCAACACAAAACAAATGGTATAAGTCGGTCAAAATAGGAGTACCGGTCTCTCAATTCTAGCAATAACAGCACTCCTAGTTTCCCACATTCACTGCGTACCAGCGGCATCGAATCCATTAACAATGGCGATACTTCCATTAGCAACTGTGATAGGTTATCATTTTTAGGATCCACATGCAATGCTAGACATCCAAGGGCTTCAACTGCTGCTATGCGGGCCAATGAATGTTTGTGATTTAAAATTCCATAAAGTGGTTTTGCTAATTGCTGAGTAAACGGCTGTAGTATTAAAGTATCAGCTGCGCTTGTCAGTGCAACCACACAAGCACAAGACTCGCGTTGGACAGCAGGATAAGCATCGCGTAAAGCCTTTGCTAAAATACCAGTGATTTGAGTATAACACTCCTCAAGCGAGTGTTTCTTTCCGGCAATTATGTATTGTTGTATTAACGCATGCAATTGCGTTATGTACAGCAAACGTATTTCCTCACTTGACTCCAAAGTTTCTTGCTGTCCCATGCGTTCCACTAATGTTGATACAATATTCAACAAATGGAAGTCATTTGCTGGTAGTTGTTTTGTAAATTCAGTTACAGTATGCACCGCACGTTCCCTTACACTCTCAAAGCGATCCGCGTAGCATTTAAGCAAATGCAAATAGGTATTGTCGAATAATACTTGCAATTGTGATGTAGATGTGTTTTCGCCTTGCCGTTTCAGGAGCTCCAATGCCGCAAGTTTGGTACAACGATCAGCCGACTGAAGATTTTTGCAAATATCATCAATGTTGAAAGACATCCTGCACTTGTATTAAAAATTTATTGATTCCGTGTCAAATCGTTCCGACAGAAATTTTTTTAAGAAATTGCGGGAATTTCAAACAAAAATATGTTGCTAGGAAACATACCGCCTCCTGCCCAGAACGCTCTTTTAGAGATGGATAAAACGTCGATGTTTTGAGATAATCGAAAACCTCGATGTTTTACTTTTCAACATTGAAGGCCCGTCCACATACAACTTTGGCGTTGCGTTGGCGCTGGTGTCACTTTGACAGCAGCGCGAGTACCGCCCGTGCTTGCTACAATGAACGCTTAGCAGAGAATACTTTGGTCACTAAATTAACATACTAGCGGAGATAAATCAAAATTTTATATCAATAATTGCATTAAAAACTATATTTCTTGTCCGCATTTGATTAAAAAGGAAAATTAAATCACATAATTTTGATTATTTGGAACAGCTGACGAACGAAGCGCGCGAAAAATTGCGAGTTGGTCATCTTTTTGCGTTGTGTTGGCGTTGGCGTTGCCCAACTTTGGTTATGTGAAGACTTTCATATAAATGCATGGATTCATAGTCAGCTGTCGAAGCGACGCCAACGCCAACGCAACGCCAAAGTTGATGTAAACGGGCCTTGATTCTTTTATACTTTCTTACCGTCTCTAGTAAACGTTCAGTTAAAGCTGTTTTAATTATTTCGGCGAACATTCGCGACGAAAAATTTGCCGTTCGCCGTTGTTGTGCTTCAGCTTTTATGGTTACTTGGCATTGCATTTGAGTAGTCACATAAGAAATCTGTTGGGTGGGGTTTAGTAGCGCTCACAACTATTTCGGGAAATTCCGTCCATAGGGGTGGCCCGATCCAAAAAAAAATTCCACACCCTTGTAGTCAAGGATCCACGCATTATTTTAACACTCACTTTTGTAAATTTTGGTCACTAATTTATTTACAAATTGGGTTTGAAATATGCCCTTTTTTATAAAATTCGGAAATTAGCATACATTTATCACTCTTAATTCTCCTTAAAGAAGCCACTTCACCAATACATTTTTGTATTCCCCTTCACTTTACACTTTACTCGATCAGTTATAACTTGCTTTACGACTTTAATATTAACCAATTAATAACAATTCATTAAATAAAAACACCTTCAAAATCACGCGTCTGACTTTGGTTGCATATGCAAATTAAATGGCGGAGTTCAGTTGTCAAACTCCAAAATATGCAAAAGAATGAGAGACAAAAGAAGATAAAATATAACCCAGCAAGCATTAAAAATATACAAAGGTGTTCTCTGCAAAAGGTGTTCAGCTCCTTTTCTTCGAAAAACAGAAAGGAGAATTCTATTGCCTGAGGGTTATAATGCCTAAGTGCGGCCGAAGGCCGCCTACGCAGAAAGGTGTTCTCTGTAAAAGGTGTTCAGCCTCCCTTCTTTGGCAACACAGAAAGGAGAATTCTACTGCCTGAGGGTTATAATCCCTAAGTGCGGCCGAAGGCTGCCTACGCAGAAAGGTGTTCTCTGTAAAAGGTGTTCAGCCTCCCTTCTTTGGCAACACAGAAAGGAGAATTCTACTGCTTGAGGGTTATAATCCCTAAGTGCGGCCGAAGGCCGCCTACGCAGAAAGATGTTCTCTGCAAAAGGTGTTCAGCCCCCTTTCTTTGGCAACACAGAAATGAGAATTCTACTGCCTGAGGGTTATAATCCCCAAGTGCGGCCGAAGGCCGCCTACGCAGAAAGAAATTCTACGCAAAAATACATTTGTTAAAGAGAACATTTTTTTTATATAAACTTGTTTTTTCTATTTTTAATTCTTTTTTATTCTTTATTCAAAATCGCCCGATATCTAATTTGGCATAATTTCTTTTATTAAAAAATCCCACGGTTTCTGTTAGTTGGGTCATATTCCACTTCAAACTGCTCAGTTTGCCTAAGAAAATTCCGTTTTTCCCCCTTTTTCAAACGGTTCCCTAGGGGCCTGTGGGAGGAGCCCAAGGGGGGATACGCCTTGTTAGAAAGCGGGGACTGTCCCCTTTCTAGTGGGGGCGGTTTGGGGGGCACCGCCCCCTCCCCCTCCGCCCACCACCCTAAAAACGATGTGAGCGCTACTAAACATTTCCCATCTGTTTAATGAGCTTTGCGTTTAGGTTACCCAGCTTCAAATTTTTTATCTTCATCATCTAAACGCTTTGTCGATGGCGGCATGATTTTTGAACGCGGCAGCGACATCCTTGGTATGAGTTTGACATTTGTGCCTGGGCTATTAAATATTGAGCCCTTTTTGTGATTGTATCGTAAACGACAATTTATAAAAAAAATAAAATAATGGATTAATTAATCATACCCAATAAACATTTAGGTTTGAGCTCAACTTGAGGTTAAGTTGAGAACTAAGGTATTTCTCAAATCTCCAACGTTGTTTCTCAACAGTACCTCAAGTGGAGGGTCATAGCGGACTGTTTCTCAAGTTGAGAAAATGCTAGTTCTCAACTTGAAGTCCAATGTAATTCTCCAATTGGTCTCAAACATATCATTGAAATACTGAAATTGAAATAGTAAAATACCTTATACCTTTTTTATTGAAACGACATACATAGACGAATTTAAATATTAATTTTTCATTTTATTAATCCTTTTGTATTAAGTAGTTAAGCAAAATCGTATTACAAGAATTCACTTCACAGTACACAGACCGACAGTAATTTTGCCATTTGATTCATTTGGCGTTTTATTTTCTTTCAAGATTTTTTGAGGATATTTTGAAGATTATTTACTTTTTGTTGGTAATTTTCCTCTTTATATAGCTTTAGTTTTTCACTTGATAATTAAATATTCGTTTCTCTATCACTTTTTACGTATCTGCGCGTCGGTTAGAGATGAGTTGGAGAATGATGTTGGATATCAACTTGAGAACTATGAATTTCTCCAAGGTTGGAGAAATATTTTTTTAGTGTTTATTGGGTATGGTTAATCCCAAGTAAAAAAAAATTATTGAAATTTTTGCAGTTATTGAGAAATAACCGATTAATCGCATTTTTAAAGGCATATTTTACAGTTCATTTTTTCGAAAGTCCATAAATTTTTGGGTTAAAATTTTTCATTTCGTCAAGGTTGACCAACTTGCCTACATACAAAAAATCTCTAGGTTAGAAACGCTTTGAAAAGAGAAAGAAGAAGAAGTTTGTTTACAATTTTAATAAAGAAATAATAATTTTGCATCACTTAACATTTTTTGCCTAATACTTTGACGCTTTGAAGTTGCTTCGCGTGCAGATTTTGAAGCGTAGAGGAATCGTTGCTGCATAAAAAATTTTATACGCGTCTAAAGCTATACGAACCGTGTGCAGACTGCCTAAGTTAGAGCAAGAAAAAATCCTAATGAAACACAATTTTGTGAAATATCTCTACCTGGCGTACTGCAGACTGGGAGGGCATATGTATAAGCTGGGGATACGATCGAATGACCTTTGCCGGTTCAGTGAAACACCACTCCACATCCTCATCGAGTGTGACGCAGTCAGCAGAAGACGTGAGAGGGGTTTAGGCTCTATGTGGCCACAGTAGAGCACATTCACTCCTTAAACCCGAAGAAGCTTTGGAACTTCCTGAGTGATCTTGGCTTGGAGGAAGTATTGTGAAGAGTGGAGGGCACAATAGATCATTAGGTCGCAGTGCATACGTCATAAATTATCTATCTAGCTATCTGTCTAACCTGGCTTAACCTAGAACAGCTCATTGGGCCTGAGCACACTAGCCTGCTCAGTCGGACTGAGCAGTCCACCACTCGAACGCACACTGGACTGGGCAGTCCGCCGAAAACAAAACGAAATAGAAAACATGTTGTCTATGTGTGCGTGTCAGTCCGCCGTCAATCCGCGATTTTCGCGGTCTGAAATGAGCGAGGTAAACTCGAACTCTCTTCCCCCTCTTATCAACACAAAACCGGTTTTAGGCGGACTGAGCAGTCCAGTGTGCGGGGCCCATTAAACACAATTATTGTTGGGGTCGATATTGGCAATAAAATGCAAACAATCGATACTATCGATGTTGCCATCGATAGTTTTTCGGCTCTACCATCGATGGTTTTGAAGCACTGCCATAGAGCTGGAAAACTATCGATGGATAGTCACAACCATCGATAGTATCGATACTATCGAAAATGTCCACACTATCGATAGTTTTGTTTAAAAAGGTCTAAAAATTAAACAACAACTTTTATTGAAAATGAGATCAAAATATGTCTATATTTTTGTTAGGGAACAAAAGTTCATCAACGATTTTCGGCTTCAAGCGGCATCTGCGCTCTGAAATTATTTACCGTGCTTTGCTAAATTTCCATTCCGACTCACAAGATGAAACAGGTACCGCCGGCTTTTACTCTTAAGCGTGATATACAGTTCAATGCGAGCGTGAGCGTGAGTTTTTTATTTTGACCAATATCTTCGTTATTACTCAACTTTTTGCTATAGTCGAGACATGAAAAGATAGAGAATTAAAATATCTTTCAGAATTATAGAATAAAAACTAATTTAAAATGCGAATGCTTTGCGTACGCACAGTTGAGTGTGAGCTCGAAAAAAAGGCATATTATGCATTTTAAATTAGTTTTTATTCTATAATTCTGAAAGATATTTTAATTGTCTATCTTTTTATGTATCAACTATAGCAAAAAGTTGGGTAATAACGAAGATATTGGTCAGAATAAAAAACTCACGCTCACGCTCGCATTTAACTGTATATCACGCTTAAGAGTAAAAGCCGGCGGTACCTCAAGAACTCACGCTCGCATTGAACTGTATATCAGGCTTTACTGAATAATGTATGTATAAGTGAAAACTTTCGATAGTCGAAAACCATCGATACTATCGATACTGCCATCGAAAGTTGTCCAGCTCTACACTACCAAGTTGAATCGAGCTACAAATGAGTGATTTAACTGATAAAGTAATTGTTGCGAAATCGGCTTTAATGGCCGCTTTGGGCGATAACGTCTCCAAATATTTGGCTAACATGAAGCTATGGTTTCGTTATAAGTGGTCCAAAGAAGAATTCGACAGCGAATCTAGAAAATTTCTCACCCCTGAAAAAATGCATTTGCATAATCAATTTCTGCTCGCAATTCTAAACAAAATCGACGCATTTCACACACCAGAACAGTCGCCAGGTCTTTTTGCTACACATAACAACAGCGGTACTCCAAGCAGTGCACCTGGAACAGGCAGTGGTGGGAGCGGTAGCGGTCGGAGCAGGAAACGCAAACGAAGCTCTCGAACAAATAGTGACCGTGTTACTTTCGAACCGTATGATTTTCTTGATTTCATTGTTGAAGATAATTTAGAATGTATTCGGCCTACGGCGGGCACCGATGCTAATGTACAAATATTGCCTACCCAACGTTATTGTGTACAAGAATTGTTTTTGCCAGACGCGGGATTTGTTCTGGGACGATTTCTTATCGGAGCTTGGGAGGTGGGACTCACTAATGTAGAAGACAATGTAGCCGAGTATGTAGCAATGGCAGTGCAGGTCCTCTTGAAAAATCTTGTATCTGCAATTATAATGAACCGCAAACATTACAAAGTAACAGGGGATGGGTCATTTTACTATGATGTTGGTGCACCATTAAAGGATCCTTCCTTGCGTAATACTGTTACACGACAGAAAATTGATGACGGACCCTTGGAGTTGGATAAAGAAATAACTTCACCGAATTTCCTGCGTCGTTCTAATGAGGACGGAATTTTCTTGTCAGCCTGTGAAGAAGTGTAAGTAGGTATATTTATGCAATTTATTTTGCCGATATTGTATGTACATATGTATATGCTCTAAAGAAACAATTTCCAATTACAGCGAGCCCCAAAAGCGTGAATTGATAACATTAAGGGATGCTCAGCGGGCTTTCAATGACCACAATCTCATAGCATCGCACTCTGTATATGCTATCAACATGGAGCGGCTAACGCAAATGTTACACTAATGCAAGTGATTAACTTAAATAATAAGTAGTATTTATAATATTTATTCTTATCTTAATACAATACAAATAGAAAAATTAAATCAAATGAAGAATATGACTGGTCTTACAATTTTGAGAATGTTGGGTGTTCCTTCGTCATTGCTGCCACAGCTGCATTAGCGAAATCTTCAGATTGCAAGTTTATCTTATTTGTTTGTCGCTGAAAAGACATACTTTAGTTCAAAATATACATACATAGAATTGCAATTTCCTTACTATATGATCCAAGCCATCCTGATTTGGTCTCGACTGTGAGAAAATTACATTAGCCTTGGTTGCTTGCACTGCTACTGGGCTCTTTTCAGCTATGATGACTGCCAACTCCAAAGCACCATCCACACAAGATTCCTTGGTTGGGAAAACTTTGCTAACTAAACCAATACTCTGTGCTTCAGTAGCACCGAACCTTCGTGCAGTATAGCAAAGTTCGCGAGCCAACGATTGGTTACCCACAATTTTTGGCAAGCGCTGTAATGCACCCACATCTGCAGCTAGACCAATATCAACTTCTTTCACAGTGAAGAAGGCATCTTCAGTGCAATAACGTACATCAGCAGCAGTTATCAGGCTAACACCAGCTCCTATGCATCCCGAATGTACAGCTGTTATTACAGGTTTACTGCATACTTCCAAGGAAGACATCGAATCTTGATACAGTTTAATTGTCCGTTCCAACACTGCAGCTTTTCGAGCTACATCATCAGCTACACCCAATTCTTGGGCCAATTTCATAGCATCACCTAAATCAAGTCCACTAGTGAAATATTTCCCTATTGCTGATAGAACAATTACCCGGCATTCGGGATTCGTACTAAGGCTTTCAAAACACTGTTTAATTTCACTAAGAGAAACTAGTAAAAACTTAAATTTTTAAAGCGAATGTATCAAAGTACTCACATCCACATATTCCTATTGAAGGCATTAAGTTTTTGCGGACGATTAAGTTCCACCTGGTATACAAATGGTTTTGGAGTAGTTATAAGCAAAGTGTTGTACTTCAAGTTGTCCTCAGATTTATGTAAATTATGACTGCTCATATTGCGCTGCACTCTGGTGGCCAAAGAAGTTCGCGAAACTGTTTATCAAATACGAACACAAATGGCCTACGTTATGAACTTTGGACTTTCATCTGTTAGTATACTAACCCAAAGAGCCAAATGAAAGCGAAGATATTTGTCTAAATGCTCCTAATGCCATGCCTTTTGAAAATAGTTTATTATTCCTTTAAAAATCAGTTAGCAGATATCACCTTATTTTGATGATGCTTAAGATTATACTTTTCCAAGCGTTGGTATCGTGATTAAATACAAGAACAAGAGTTATCAAAATACAGTGTAGGGAAAAATAATGGATACTATATATCAAGAGCGAATTTTACATAATCCAACATCTGTTGCAACTTGGTTGGAGGCGAACATAACTGTAAAAAATCCTTAATTCTTATCAACCACCCAACATGTATGTCGAGCGGTTGTTTAGTCAATGGTTTAAATGCTGATTCAGTGAAATTTTGCATTTGAGGGATAAAATTGGGTGCAAATGTGCCCCGGGTATGCTTTGGCTAAGCAATACTCTTCCAAAAATCCATTCACAATTGGAGTCAGCTGTTTTTTTTTCTTGAATTATTCCTCGACAGTTCTTTTTTGACATTTTGTACTCATTTAGGTTTATTTAAATAAAAAATTTTCAGGAAATTAAAAAAAAAAATATTTTTTTAAATATGTCATTACTAAAGAACGTGAGGCAAGCTCAACTTAAAATAAAGTCTTTTCGCAAGTTCGGTATGTAGAGAAAGTTATTTATCACTGATGCATCCTAATTCATAATTACTTCCTCAAGATCGCATTGCTCTGGCTTTTTCGTCCGCACCATCATCTGATGCGCCGGCTGCCGCTGCTCTGAGCAAGAACTTCCTACAAACCTTACGTTCTGAAACATTTGGACAGCCCACTTATGTGACCCATCCACATCTTGTTAACGAGGGAGAGCTAGTAATAGGCCAGACAGTGGAAACTTTCCGGGAACGTCGTTCTTGGCTTTTGAGTGGCATACAAAAGCTTGACGAGGAAAGTGAAAAAAATTTTCAACATAAAAAGAAATCTCACATGGTAAATTAAATTGTTCATATAACTTGAAAGATGGTAGTGCTTTCCATAATGAAATATTATTTCACTATGGTGCTTTCTATGTTCAACTAAACTTTTAGGTAATCGTGCCGTCAGCGACTAAAAAGTACATGAGCGACAAAATTCCTTACGTTTTTCGGCAAAACTCTGACTTTTTTTACTTAACGGGATGTATGGAGCCAGATTCGGTCCTGGTATTGACTATAAACGAGAGGGAAGATGTCAAATCGATATTATTTATGAGGCCAAAAGACAAACACGCTGAGATGTGGGATGGTGCTCGTACTGGGGCCGAAAATGCCCCTGATTTTTTTGGTGTGGACGAGGCGTACACAATACCGCAATTTTCGAAAATTCTAAAAAAATACATTGAAAGCGAAAAGCCTCTTGTTTGGTATGATATACCTGCCTCAGATCAGGCCACTATTACCAGCGACATACAACAGGTAACTGGTAATACTTCAGAGCTTAAATCTCCCGCTGTTTATATACAAAGTCTTCGGCTATATAAATCACCTAGTGAACAAGACTTAATGCGTCGAACCTGCCAAATCGCTTCTAGAGCAATAAATGAGGTTATAAGTGAATCAAAACCAGGACTTTCGGAACATCAGCTATTTGCTGCGGTAGACTACAAATGTCGCATGAAAAATGCGAATTACATGGCATATCCGCCGGTGGTAGCGAGCGGTAACAACGCAACTACAATACATTATATTAGCAATAACCAGTTGACAAAAAGTGGCGACTTGGTGCTTATGGATGCTGGTTGCGAATATGGTGGATATACCAGTGACATCACTCGCACTTGGCCCATAGATGGAATATTTACACCGGCACAAAAAATCTTGTATGACGTGGTTTTGCAGTTACAAAAGGAGTTAATAGGTAAGAGCTCAAAACTTGCTACTCACTATTATACTCACAATCCAAATGTGCTTATAGCAACATTATTAAAACCTGGTGGAGAAACATTAGACCAACTTTTCGATACAATGTGCGTAAAGTTAGGAAAATACTTACAAGAAGTCGGCCTTGTACCTAAGGATATAGTTGATGACATTAGTTATGCAAGGGTATATGATTTTTGAATTGCTCTTAAAACGTCTTATTATTATTGTATTTTATGTATTTATATCGTATTAGGCTGGCTATAAATTCTGCCCGCATCATGTATCGCACTATCTTGGCATGGATGTACACGATACACCACTGATACCCCGTACATTCCCAGTACAACCGGGGATGGTGTGCACCGTCGAACCAGGAATTTATATAGGCCACGATCGAGAAGATGTTCCTAAAGAGTTTCGCGGTATTGGAATACGTATTGAGGATGATGTGCTTATTACCAGCGACCATAATGTAGAAGTGCTAACTGCCGAATGTGTAAAAGAGCGCAGAGAGATTGAGAACCTGTTTTTGACTAAGCGATAATTTCTATAGACAAAATTTAGAGGGTTAAAACGAAGTGCAGTGCAAATAGTTGGCAATAAATTATTTATTTCTTTTTTTTTTTTGGTCACGTTAAGTTGAAAAATATAAATAAACAGTAAATATTAGGAATATGAAAAGCAGCTTAATAAAATTGTTGGCTGTATTTTTTATGGCCAATGAATATTGACATCCGTGTTATGGCGTCCCCATGTGCAGTCACGTAAGTGTGTTGTGGATCATAGAACTCGGTTACAATAGCTAAAAAGAATGTCTTTCTTGTTATATACATGTCTATTATGGTATCCGCATGGATCTAATAGCATTCGCTCTATCGTAACAAGCTAGTGTGAAATATTAGATTTGTGCGAATGACATCCAGTCCGCTGGATGCCTTTCGCCCGAATCTAATCCTTCACACTCGCTTGTTATGAAAGTGTGAATCGGTTTAGCTCCGGACTGTTATCCGTATTAGGTTTGAGAAAAAGTAATCACAATTTATAGTAAAAAAACTTACTCTCTTGTAGGTTGTCATAGGATGAGAAGAGGTTCGCTGAAGCGGGTGTAATTTCCGTTAGATGAATACACTTTAGATCACATAGTATATCAAGCAGAAACATTATTTCGACAGCTGGCAAGTGAGGAAACTTTGAGCAGATATCTGGAATCATACAACCCGAGCGACTAACACATTCGGTGAGTACTGATCCCAACCAACGATCCAAAACGCGCCGATTAATGGTGCCGTTCAGACGTATCCACGGGTGGGGTTTCATTACGATCACATCTCTGGGGAATACAAATTTTACAGGGATTAGTGGTAGAAAGCCACCTAGTTAATTTATGAAAAAAGTAATGAATCAATTTTAAATTTACCTTTTGAGGTCTTTTTCAGGGGCATTTCCTTCTCTATTTTCGCCCTGGAACCGATTTACCGGTTTTGACACACGCTTACTCAACTGTTGATCTTCCGCAGTGGCACCGACGTCGTTAGCCAACTTAGCTCTTTTACAGGAACTAGCTTCTTCGGGCTCATCGCTACCCTCTTCATCCATATTTTCATGCTCACTATTGTCACCACTGGTTATCTTTCGTTTAAGTGTCACTGTTCCATCCGGTCCCAATTTTTCGCGTTCCAGCCGTTTGAGGTGAAACGTGTGTACAACCCAAGGTCGTATGTGAGATTTATGCACATACATCATTGTGTCAATTCCAACGCGCTTGACCAGATAGTGCTCGGATAGAATACGTATGGCGCGCGAAAGAAATTGAGCATAAGGAAATTCACGCTGGAGAATTTAATGTGAAAGTCACTTTCTGGCCACATTGGTTTTTTAGTAAAAGACTGTCACAACTCTAAAACGGAATTTTCAGGGGACTCGTTTATATGTAAAATGGTGATGCAATATTTTAATATTTAAGTAATATTAAGCATGAATAGTTATTTCTGCATCATTTGTACAAAAATCTATTTTTCTATTGTAACAATCTTTTAGGAAATATGCGATGTGTTTGCCATTCAAAGAATAACCACATATCTAAATACCTTTAAATCAATTACGGAAACGCCTAGTTTATGCGTTTCTATATATTTTAGTAGGTCTTCTACGTGCTGTTGCTCCATAGCTGTGAAACCCAGTTTGATAAGTTTAGGTTTAAGTACTTCAAAAGTGTTATCCGTATACTTCCAATGAGATTCACTAGCACAACAAATTAATACTAATTACGTGGTTGTTCATACTTAAGACTTGTCTACACACTTACTCTACAATCTTTCTCAATATCTGGTCTCGAACGACTTCAGCTTCCACTAACCTCTTGGGCACACACAACCCGCTGTGCATCACAGTCTCTTTATTGGACAAGTGCAATTTTTTATTCACTTCCAATTGCAAGGTTGGCAAATTAACAACAAAAACATCTTGTGCGCGAGCCAAACGCTCCTCCTTATTTAGTGTAGGTTCATACTCATCAATTTTGTCATTCTCTTCGTCCGCTGCATTGAACTCTAAAATCTCACAACACAACTGATGCCAGTCAATTGATTTATTGATCTTCACATTTGCGGATATGCGCCCGAGATCTTTGCGTTCGTACGCTGTTTCTTTCTCGCGCCAGAAAGACTCCAACATGCGCACCAGCGTTAGCAAATTAGTTGATTCAACTGTAACCGAACAACCACTCATGGCCATATTCAATAACTTTTGCGGTGGCATTTCTGTTAGCTCCCTTAAAATGGATCTCTTCTCCTGAACAATGCGTTCAATGACATTGATATAGTTGGCATGCTTCAGGATGCAGTTAAAGGGGCACTCGATGCTTAAAGTGTCATGTTCTTCATCTTTGTGCATCAGACGACTAAAATTTATCTCTACCTCATGATTAAGGTGATCGAGTGCACAGAAAAAGTGTAGATGTCGAACGGGCAACTTGGATATGAAGTCATAAGGACTGTAGGTGATTTTGTAGCTCAAATTGGCTGGTTGGAATTTAACACGGACCTTTAACGGCAAATTAAGTGAATTACATACACTTATTAATAATTTAATAGTATAGTTTATATCATTTAAATGACAGTCGATTCTACGCACAATAATTAACCGGCTTTTACCAAGGCTGTTGTTTCGGCGATAAACTTTGTTTTGATCGGCGAATCCTAACAATCGTTGTTCGGCCCTGGACCCACAACTTGTAGCTTGATTCCTGCGCTCGGCTTCATGTAACTAACCTAAGCAACAAACCAACTCGCCTTCGCAGCCAACCAACCACCAGTAGGCAGCGATACACACAACTGTGGCAGACAACCCACTTATTCCTCACTCGGCAAGTGGTAAAGCAACATAGGCGGAGAAAGTGGGAGGATATTCTGAAGACCTGCAATTTCATGTCTGGTGTTAGTAAGTTTTGGTTGACCGTAAGGTAGGGTCC